TTTGTTGCTGGTTGAGCCTCCTGCTTTATTGCTTTTGTTGGTTGAGTTCAGTTGGCTTCTGTGCTACCTTGCCATCTAATTTGGTGCGCTTCTACTGGAATTTCAGTACTGAGGAACCAGGAGGTGTCCAGATTCTTCAGGGTCTGTGATCTGGACCAATGAGTCGACATGGTGGGAGGTGGGCGTGGCTTCCGTGGCTACCAGGAAGTGTGGGGGTGGGTTCTGGGGAGAGGCTGCTCACCCCAACTCTGAGAAACACCAGAGTTGTCAACCTGGGCCCCGAATACCTGAAATGATTTACAATTTGGCATCTCTGCAGGGAGTATTTGTGAAGCAGTGGAGTTGAGGCCCTGGCGTGGCTGCGTGGCAGGGTGTGAGTGCTACTGTTAGGCTTCAGCAGGGCAGGTACTTGGCCTGCCCCCTCCCAAGGGTGTCCCAGAGTTTCCAGCTGCGGGGAACTAAAATCCACAGATTTTAGCTGCTTGGTATGCATATCCCAGGAGTTTCAGTCACGAGTCGGTAGAGCAGGCTGGTGGGTGAGTCAGTGTGGTGGTGGCCATGGGAGGTGGGATACCTTTAGTTTTACATGGAGCTATGGACAGCATGAACTCAAGTGCACCCGCTGGTGTGTTTCACCGATCCAGGATTGCCAGTGGGCCTGGCCAGGCGTAGTCCCTAAGTCTGGAGTTGAAGTTGGCAGCCAGTTTGCACAGGGGATGTGGGCATGAGAATACTGGATCCTCACTCTTTGGGAGGCAGCGGGGACCCCCCAGGCTTGGGGGCCTTGAACTCAGGGCTAGGTCCCTACAATTCTGTCTGAAAGGTGCTTCACTCCAGAATTGATGTCGAAGACACCTGAACTTTCATTAAGTGTATTTAAAGTTCAGTTGGTAAGTACAGAACTGAGGTTGTGAAGTTGGGAGAGAGGGTGCGAGGGAAACTAGAGTGAGTGGTGGAGGGAGGCTGCCACCCTGGGGGGGTGGGGGGGGTTGGTAACCATGTAGGGGCCTGTGTTCCTGAAACATTCAGGGTGACACAACTGGAAATCACGGTACCTAAAAAAATCAATTAGGGAGCTGGGGAGAGGGAAAAGAGAAAAGAGGGTAAGGTTCTTGCCTTGCATATCCCTGATCGGGGTTCACGAATATTCCCTGATCCTGATCCTTGCATATCCCTGATACTGGCACCACATATGATGCCCCAAGGCTGGCCATGAATGATCCCTGAGCACAGAACCAGGTGTCAATCTGAATACTACACCTCCCAACCCATGTGGTGCTGGGAATCAAGTCGTGGGCTTCCCCATGCAAAGTCTTTCAAGTCATTGACCCGACTTTGTGTTCACATATGTGAACCTCCCAGGGATCTCACGAGCGATGTTCATTATCCCCCCAGTCACAGACAGGGGGGCAGGCACGAGAGAAGCCAGGGTCTTGTCTAAGGCCTCGGGGCTGCTGTAGCCCTGCTCTGTGACTCTCCTCCCCCACCTCGTCTGCCTGCACCCGTGTCCATCCCAGAGCAGAGGTGCCACAAGGAACCTTTCCGAGACCCTAGTTTAGTGTCTCTGGTCTCCTAAGAATAACACCAGGAGGGGCTGGAGCAATGGTACAGTGGGGAGAGCTCTTACCTTGTAATGGCAGACTTGGGTTTGCTTCCCATATGGTCCCCTGTTCCCCTCCAGGAGTGATCCCTGAGCACAGAGCCAGGAGTCAGCCCGAAGAACAGCTGGGAGTCACCCAACCCTAATTGAGCAACAGGAGCTCACAACTGCAGCCGCATCTCTCTGCAGAACATCCTGGGAGGACTCAGAGGGCCAGAGTGATGGCCCTGGATGACTTTGGAAGGAATGGTTTTCAGGGAGGAGTGGGGGCTGGCACACCGGGGGTGGGTCCCTGTGTACCCAGAGAATGGGGAATTCTGGAGTGACCCCTCTCCCACCACCCACACATAAGTAGCTTCTCCTCCAGAACTACACACCCTCCACATCTGCCACCTGCACCCCTCCCGCACCCCCTTTCAGTAGCTAGCACCCCCTCATGCTTCAGACCTCAGCGTGACTCTGGGGTCCTGGAGGTGGAGCTTGTGAGCCCCGCCCTGAGCTATAGGTTAAAAGACCACCCCCCCCCCCGCCCTGCCTGAAGTGCGGACCCCGTGAAAGGCCTTAAGACACCTTCTTGTGTGTCTTGTTTGCAGATTGAAAGTTCTAGGCCCGAAGCTGGTGACTCTGCAGGTTCAGTGCGAGCTCCTGCCCAGAGTGGCCACAGGCAGGCACTGCTGGGAACCTTCACTGAAGACACCAAGTGGATGAGTGACTCTACCCCCAAAAGTCTGGTGGGGTGGGGTGGCCAAGATCTGAGTTGTTCAAAGTTCCCCAGAGGGCAGTGCAGACCACCCAGATCTGGACAGTGGGTCTGATCCACCCTCAACTCTTTATCCACCAAACTGGAAAAGTGGAAATGGCCCGGCCCTGGGGTGCTTGCCCTTTGCCTCCCAAGGCTGGGGCCACAGTTACTGTCACCGTCTGCCTGGAGCACTTCCAGGACTTATGGGGAGGCCGGGGGCCAATTCCGGGATCCACGGGGCAGTCGAAAGGGCTGGGGGAGCAGAGAGGGGTTCCTTTCGGCCTCTTCCGAGAGCCCCGCACCTGAGTCCACGGCATCGCTGGCCTTCTCCACCATGAGCCGGTTCCAGCGGAGACCACCCCATGCGGCCCTCGTGGCTGCTCTCACCTCTCCCGTGCCGGGTTTACTCTGAGCCCCTCACAGAACCCAAGCAGCACCCACCATTTCGGTCTTCCTTTCACTTTATTTCGATTTCACTTTATTAAAAATAAAAATGTTGGGGAGGGTGGGAGGGAATCTCGAAACAAGGATCACGGCATTTCAGAGGCACAAACTTTGCAGTAGAGAAGGTGGTCACCTGGCCAGGGCACAGGCAGCGGGGACAAGGGTGGGGGCTCGGGCTGTTCTCAGGGAAGGGGACAGTGTGGTGAGAGGCACATTAGGGGACTCGGGTGGGGAGGGTTGGGGGGGAGGTCTGGGGCGGAAACTCTGGGGGGTGAGTTTTGGCACCTCCCCTCCAGACCACCATGGAGGGGTCCTGGGCTCTCTGTCTGCTGCTCCCTGGGGGGCTGGCAGTGACAGGGGCCATCAGGAGCTCCCCGTGATGGAGGTGGGGGCAGGGAGAGAGTGGGGTGCTCCTGCAGTGAACACAGACATGCTTCCCTGCTGGCCCGGTGGACCCACGCCCCTCTGGTCCCTGCCTGGGCCATGAGCCTCACAGTGAACCGCGAGCCTGAATGAGGTTCCACGGGAGGCCTGGATGCAGGGCGGAATCTAGAAACTTCCTCCAATGCCTTCTCCAGAGGCCCCACATTTCCGCTGGGGATTGTGCTGACCAGGCAGGTGGCAGTGGACAGCCCTGCCACCCAGGGCGCTCTGGGTGACCTCAGATGGGCCCTGGCTTCTCAGGTTCCTGTGTCCCCATAGGGACAATCAGCAGGAGGTCTCCGGTGGGAAATCTCCGACATCCTTTCAGTGTTGGCGGCCTCTCATGGGTGTTTCTCTGTGGAGGACAGGCATTGACCAAGGCTCTGTGTCACCCAGGGTGGAGTCCAGGAGGATGGAAAGGAAGGTGCTGGGGGTGCTGTGGAGAGGAGAGGTGGGGGCTCTGTAGTCACAGGCCTTCCTCCACTGTCCCCTGAAGAAGTGTCCAGGTGGGGCATCTGGAGTCTCAGAGCCTCCTTCAGGAGTTCCAGGAAGGCGATGGTGGCCACACTCTGTGGACACAGCCTCCAGGGCTGAGCAGAGCAGACAGCACTCATGGCCTGTGTCCAGGGTCTCCTGTGGAACAGAAATGGGCTCCTGCGGGGTGACAGGCATGCCCAGGCTGAATCCTGGCCCTCTGAAGGTCTGTCTCTGCAAAGGTGGGCTCAGGGGAGGGTCGGACAGGCCCAGGAACGACGTTCAACATTCCCTTTCCTTAAAGAGAAGATGTAACATCTGGGGGTGTGGTAAAGGCAAAAAGGGTGTGTGTCTCGTGTGTGTGAGAAAGTGTGCGTGAGAGAAAGTATGTGAAAGAAAGTGTGCATGAGAGAAAGTGTTTGAGTAAGAATGTGTATGGATGTGTGAGAGAGAAAATATATGAGAAAGTGTATATGAGAGAGTGGGTGTGAGAAAGTGTAAACTCTGGGTGAGTGAAAGTGTGTGAGTGAAAAATTGTGTGAGAGAAAAAGTGTGAGACTGTGAGAAAGTGTTGTGAGTCAAAGTGTTGTGAGTCAAAGTGTTGGAAAGGAAGGCGTGAGAAAGTGTGTGAGAAAGTATGTGAGAGAAAGTATGTGTATGAGAAAGTATATAACAGTGTGTATGTGTGAAAGTGTGTGAGTGAGAGTGTATGGGTGAGAGAGGGAAGATGTATGAGTGAGAAAATATATGTGTGTGTGAGAGAGAGAGGGAAAGTGTGAGAAAGTGTGTTTGTGTGTGTGTGTGTGTGTGTGAGAGAGAGAGAGAGAGAAAGTATGTGAGTAAGGAAGTGTGTGTCTGAGTGTCAAATACAGAGACAGGGAGGTCACAGTGAGAAATATGAAAGCAGAAGGAAAGGGAAAGAAAGAAAGCAAAGAAAGAAAGAAAGAAAGAAAGAAAGAAAGAAAGAAAGAAAGAAAAAGAAAAAGAGAGAAGGAAAGAAGGAAGGAAAGGAGGGAGGGATGGAGGGAGGGCGGGAGGGAGGGATGGTGGGAAGATGGAGAAGTGGAGAAACATAGGAAAAGGAAGGGGAAAGCATAGTGACATGGAAAGAAAGAAGAAGGGAGAGAAGCAAGAGTTGAGGAGTAAAGGAGGGGCTGGAGATGGTGTTTTCTGTCATGTTTCAGTCACGCCTCTGTCATGTCTCAGACACGCCTCTATCACATCTCAGTGAAGTCTGTCATGTTTCAGTCACATCTCAGCCATGTCTCAGTCACGTCTCAGTCACGTCTCAGTCACGTCTTGGTCACATCCGCGCACTCAGGCCTGGGGCCGGCGGGGCCGCACGTCCAGCTTGCGGTCAAGCTTCCGGTCCTTGCGCGGGCGCCGCTCCCTGCGACCCTTCTTCTGGCTGGAGCTTCGCTCTGCAAAGGGGGTGCAGGGGGCAGTGTGTCTCAGGCTGGAGCCCCCGAATCCTCACAGACAGCAGAGGGCAGAGTAACTCGGACACTGACCTCATGCTGACTCCTGTTGGCACTGCAGGACAGCTTGGCCCCCACTGTCACCTCAGCTCTTTTATTTCTTTTTTGGGGGGGCTTTTTGGGTCACACCCGGTGATGCTTAGGAGTTACTCCTGGCTCTGCACTCAGGAATTACTCCTGGCAGTGCTCAGGGAACCATATGGGATGCTGGGAATCGAACCTGGGTATGCCGTGTGCAAGGCAAACACCCTACCCTCTGTGCTATTGCTCCAGCCCCACCTCAGCTCTTTAGGGGAGCTCACTGTCCTAGGGCGCCCACCCCAGGGGGGGTCCTCATCTGACCTGCCGAGCCCTGCAGCTTTAGGAGGCCTCCTCAGTCAGCTCTGGGGTAGCCTTAGGGGGAGCGCCAGGACCCTCCCTTAGGCACTGAAACTTTCGTCCAGATCTCAGCACCACCTTCCAACTTACCTGGTACCCTGGCTCTGCCCTCAGAACACAGAGGCAGTGACAGAATTTGGTGACGCCCCCCAAATAACACCACCCCACCCCCACCGTGCAGGCTGGGATTTCCAGTGTCCTCTGTACACTATTCTCTCCCCAACTCTCTCTATATGGGGGGGGGGGGCACACCTAATGGTGCTCAGGGCTTACTCCTGACTGCACTCAGGGATCACTCCTGGCAGACATGGGGGATCATGTGGGGTGCCGGGGTTTGAACCTGGGTCAGCCATGAGCAGGACAAGTGCCCCATCCCTGTACTATTGCTCTGTCCCCTGTATGTCTCCCCACATTCCGGCCGCCCTGTTCCTCAGGTATGAGGGACCTGGGCCATCGTGGTTCTTGTCATCCACCTGGCCCTACTCACTGACCTCCCCTCTGTTCCCCAGGTCATTGGGTCATAGCCTCCGCCACACCTCTGCACTGATCCACCTGGAATGTTCTGCCAGTTCTTGGATCAGCAGGTGAGATGACCTCGGCTTAGCGGGAACACAGGCAGCCCGAAAGTGCCAGTTTCCCGCCTCCCAACACGCAGGTCATGCTCACACACTGCCTGTCCCTCCCCGTACTTCTCTCCCCAAGGGCCACAGCCACGGAGACTAGGAAGCAGCTCCTACACCCGCACGGCAAGGCTGGAAGCAAGCTGTGGGTGGCACGCACTTTCATTCTTGAATGTCAACTGGGGGTCCTTTCATCTGGGCACCAAGCCAGCCTCCAGGATGCTGAGGGAGCCTCTGTGGGTGGAGTGCTCCCGGCGTAAAGGACAGGCATCACCCCACAGCACCTGGGACTGGGCCCTGCCAGGGAGACCTTTGAAAGGACCCCGGGAAGGACCAGTCTTAGCCCCTGGAGGTGTGGGTGACAGGCCACCTTCCAGCAACCTTTTGGATACTGTGTACTATGTGGCAGTGTCCTGGGGCCACTCATGGTCTAACCACATGCTCCCCCATCCCCATCCCCATCCCCATCCCCATCCTGGCGCTCACCTCCTGGGCAGGGCCTCTGGATGGGGCATTTCCTGGACTCGGACAGCACCTGGCAGCTGGCCCCCTCCTCCGGCCCGGTCCGGCCGGCCTCTCGCACTCGGGTCTCCAGGCCCCATGACAGGCCGCACGTCTTCCTGCTGTGCATGCACCGGCTCCAGGCACCCCAGGGGCCCAGCTCACACTCCTCTGGGGGGACAGAGACACAGACAGGTGTCAGAGAGGGTCAGGCAGCAAATACAGGGGTTGACGGGCTCGGTTCTCCCCCAGGAGAGGGTCTTGCGGGCTGCCCCGAGGAGAGATGTTTAAGGAGCATCCAGGAAGCAGAAGGTCAAGCCACGGAGGGTGACTCTGAAGAGGAAGGCGTCCCGGGGAGGGGTCAGGGCTGGGGTGGGGCTCAGCAGGTGGCCTCTCTGGGGTGGGGCAGCTGGGGATCAAGGGGCAACAGTGGGGGGCTGTGGCCGGACACGCAGATGTCTGGTCAGCTTGGAGGCCCGCAGGACCAAGACACAGGGGTTGAGCTCAATCGTGCTTTCTCTTTAACTTAAGGTGGGGGGTAGACCATGCTGTTGCGAGGGGGAGAAAACATGAAGAGAAGTTCTCAGCCTGGACAAATTTGAGAATTAAATATTCATTTCTTCCCATGGGATTCTTTTTTTTTTCTTTTTGGGTCACACCTGGCGATGCTCAGGGGTTACTTCTGGCTCTGCACTCAGGAATTATCCCTGGCGGGGCTCAGGGGGCCGTATGGGATGCTGGGAATTAAACCAGATCGGCCGCTTGCAAGGCAAATGCCCTGCCTGCTGTGCTATCACTCCAGCCCCGCTCCCCCGTCCCCGCCATAGGATTCTTTAAAGACTCCCTGGGTCAGAGAGCTAGAACAGCGGGTACTATCTGGGTCCATCCTCGGTATCACAGATGGTTTCTCCAGCCCAGTGATGGGTGATCACAGAGCACAGTCAGCGATAAGTCCTGAGCACTGCCAGGTGTGACCCAAACCCATCTCTGTGAAAAAGAGTCCTTGAGAGGCAGACAGAGATAGGAGTGGTGACTCACACACCTATTTTATAGATTAAAACGCTGAGCCCAGGGCAGGAAAAAGGCAGCCCAGGGAACACAGAGGGACTCGCATCTCAGAAGACACCTCAGGAAGCGGGAGCCCCAGAACCCAGGCCTGCAGGCCTGAGAACCATGGTTCCTAGACTGTATGCATTCACTTGAAAAGCAAGATTGAGGACTTGCTGTGTGTGCCAGGGGCTGGATTGGTGCTGGGGTGCCAAAGAAATAAGACAGACCCGAGTCGGCCTCCTAGAGCTCACAATCAGCAGGGTACTCAGACAGCAATCAGGTGCTCACAGAAGCCCAGAAGGCTTCCTGGAGGAGGAGCCCCCTGACCTGAATCTGGAAGTGGGGCCGGGAGTTCAGCCAGGTTCAGAGGGGGGCAGGAAGGAGGAGAGCACCAGGGGAGAGAAAAGACACAGGCAAAGTTGTCAGGGTAATCGGCCCTAGTTTAGATCTGGGGCATCTATTGCAGACCTAAAGGAGAGAGAGAGTGAAAGGGAATGTGCCTGCCACCGGGGGGTGGGTGGGGTGGGGGTGGTGAGGGATACTGGGATCATTGGTGGTGGAGAAGGGGCACTGCTGGAGGGATGGGTACTCGATCATTGTATGACTGAAATGCAAGCACAAAAGTTTGTAAGTCTGTAACTGTACCTCACGGTTGATTCATTAAAAAAAAAAAATTAAAAAAAAAAAGATCTGGGCCACTGGAGCCTGGCCTCAAATGGAGGAGGAACAAAGGAGAGGGGCAAGAGGTTGGCTTATGGGCACCAGAGGGAGCACTGTGGGACCACACAGGAAGGTCTCTCTGAGCAGAGCAGAATCCTAGTCTCAGCGCCACATCAACAGAATCTGGCTGGGAGCCTGAGCTAGAGAGACAGGCAGGAGGCTGGGGCCAGGATCACAGTCATGGGCGAAGGTGTGTGTGTGTGTGTGTGTGTGTGTGTGTGTGTGTGTAGTGAGGAGACGAGGGCAAGCAGAGATGGAGTGGGTCAGGGAGTTTTATTCTATCTCAGCACCACCCCCTGCCCCCAACGCTGACCTCTCACGCACCCTGAGATCTGTTTTGCTCTCTATACCAAATAGTCCCAACCACGAGGGAGAGAAGCTTTGCCCATTTTCTTGGCAAATATACACTTTTTTTGTGGGGGGGGGTGGGGGAGTCCACCCAGTTTCTTCCTGGCTCTGCACTCAGGGAATCACTCCTAGCATTGCTCAGGGGACTAAATACAGTGCCAGGGATCAAACCAGGGCTGGCTGGGTCCAAGGCAAGTGCCTTACTCACTGTACTATCTCTCCAGTCCCTTCTTATTCTTAAAAATTCCAGCTTTCCCTGGAGAATTTCCCTCTTGCTCTACTCTATTTAATATATATATATATATATATATATATATATATATATATTCACAGGTCTTTAATAGATGTCATAACTTAAAACTTCCATCTGTAAGATTTGGGGGGGGCAGTGGCAGGGGGCACAGGATGATGCTCAGGGCTTCCTCCTGGCTCTGCACTCAGGAATCACTCCTGGTGTGCTTGGGGAACCATATGGGATGCCGGGGATCAAACCCAGGCTGGCTGTGTGCAGGGCGAACGCCCTGCTTGTTGTACTGTCGCTCTGGCCCCCAGTGCCTGACACATAGCATATGCTCTAATGACTCTCTCTTGAAGGAAGGAATGAGCGGATTGGATCTGAGGGAGGATGAGGAAGAGAGAAGAGTCAGCAGAGGTCCATATCTCCGGGGAGGCCAGCCCAGGGGGCGTGGAGCTGGTTATGGATGGAGGAACCCAGAAGAGGCAGCAGGCTACAGACAGGGACAGGGGAGACATCTGACCACAGGAGGGGAGTCATGCAGAGCTGCCCCAGGAGGGATGTGGCCCAAGCCAGGAGCCACCATGTTTAGAACGGCTGTGAAGAAGAGCTCAGAAAGAATGCACGGGTGGAACTTTGTGTTTCAACTGAGAGTCCAGGGGAGCAGGACTCTGTCTGACTGTGTGTCTCTAAGGACAGACCACAGATTATAATGAGATTATAATGCACGTTATAATCTCATAATTATGATGAGATATCCTGGCCTGCTCGGATTGGGACTGGGCCTCCTCCACTCAGATCCCCCATCTTCCAGTAGCCAGACAGTTGCACCCACCGACTGCTGAGTAATCCCACCAACGGCCAAGATCCAGAGACTATGAAACCAAGCTCCAAGAAGCACGTGGCCACAAATGTGTGACCTTTTATTGTCTAGTTTTCTCTCTCAGAGAACCTGGTGGGCTACCGAAAGTATCCTTACCACATATATGCCTGACTGGGAACACCTGTAAAGGTGATTAGAGGCTGCCCCAAAAGCCTCCATCCCTCTCATGCAAGCTACTGAGAGTATATCCCGCCTGCATGGCAGAGCCTCGCAAGCTACCCGTGGTGTACTCGAAATGCCGAAAACAGTATCAATGATGGTCCTCATTCCCCTCACCCCGAAAGAGCCCCCAATATGCCATCGGGCTACACTAGCATGTGTCAGGGACAAATGGAGACATCACTGGTGCCCACTCAAGAAAATTGATGAACAAGGAGAGGACAGTGATACAGTGATATAATGCACGAGCTCAGGCAGGGGTCTGCGAGAGAGCAATTAAGGAATCTGGAAACAACCCGAGTACCAGGCAGATGACTGGTTAAAGAAACTATGGCACATCCACACAATGGGATACTATGCAGCTTTTAGGGAAAATGAAGTCATGAAATTTAACTATAAATGCATGGACATGAAGAGTATCACGCTGAGGGAAATGAATCAGAAGGAGAGGGACAGGCATAGAATGACTGCACTCATTTATGCGATGTGAAAAAAATAGTATGAGGCTAAGACCCAAGAACAGTAGAAACAAGGGCCAGGAGGATTGGTTCATGGTTGGATGCCTGCCTCAAGTGCTAGTGGAGGGGGCAGTTAGGATCGAGAAGGGTCCACTATGACAATGATGGTAGGAAGAGATCGCTCTGAATGGGAGCTGCATGCTGAAAGTGGGCAAAAGACTAAACATGATGGCCTCTCAGGATCTGTACTGCAAATTATAATGCCCAAAACCAAAAGGAGAGATAGAGAGATAGAGATAGATAGATAGATAGATACAGAGAGAGAGAAAGAAGAAGAGATAGATACAGAGAGAGAAAGAAGAAGAGATAGATAGATACAGAGAGAGAGAGAAGAAGGAGAAGGAGAAGAAGGAGAAGAAGGAGGAGGAGAAGAAGGAGAAGGAGGAGAAGGAGGAGAAGGAGGAGAAGAAGAAGGAGGAGGAGGAGGAGGAGGAGAAGGAGAAGGAGAAGGAGAAGGAGAAGGAGAAGAAGAAGAAGAAGGCGGCCTTCCATAGATAGGGGCCTGGGAGGGAAATTGAGGACATTGGTGGTGGGAAATGGACATTGGTGAAGAGACACATGTTGGAACATTGTATAACTAAAGCCCCATCATGAACAGCTTTGTAACTGTGTATCTCACAGTGGTTCAATTAAAATAAAATAAAAAATAAAATAAAAATAAAGGAGCAACTGGGAAACAGAGCAGGGAGACAAGGACACTGATGCAATTATAATGCATTGCACACTGCCTGGATGCTCCTTAGTGTATGCCGTAAGTTCTTCAAACCGTAGTAATTCATTTCACTCTCATTCACCCCATCCACCCCACTTGCTTCCTCAAGGAAGCAAGTCCTATGTTCCTATCCTCAAGGAAGTTGGTTCAATGGTCATTTTTAAAAACATTTGGAGAAACTGAAAGATAGGTAGATGACTTAATCAAGCTCACAAATGCATACATATTAGAGCTAGGTTTTGAATGGACTCCATCTTATTCCACAGTCACTGTTTTTCTCCCAAGTATGGTTGCTTTCCTTAGTCATACTAGGGATGTCGGAGTGGGCACTAATGGAAATGATGGTGTTTATATCAGATCTAGTGCCATTGAATGACTCCTGTGTGTACCTGACACAGTTGGACTTCCATGTGATGGTCTCCAGGACCCTAGACCTCCTCCTCAGACCTCTGCTCCAGAGAGAGAAGGAAAAGGGCAGGGAAGGGAGGCCTCCACTCACCCTGGCACTCCCGTGTGCTCTGTTGGGCTGCGGTGCCAGGCGGACAGGTGGGCAGGCACTTCCCCTTGTACAGGTAAAACCTCCTCTTGCACTGGATGCAGAAGTCCTGGCTGAAGCAGCTCTCACAGGTGGTGCCACATTCTGTAACAGAGCCAGTGCCACCCCCATGGAGGGCACTGCATTCTATGACAGAGCCTGGGCCACCCCATGGAGGGCATCACATTCTATGACAGAGCCGGGGCCACCCCATGAAGGGCACTGCGTTCTCTGACAGAGTCAGGGCCAGCCCATGGAGGGCGGCTGCACTAGTGGGTTTCTGAGCAGCCCTAGTGTTGGGGTCAGAAGTCTGTGTCTCCTTGGAATGTCAACCTTGTCCAACGTCAAACAGGGCTGCTTTTGAGGAGAAAGCACTGGAACTGGGGCTCAGCAGAGGGAGGGCAATGTGTCCAAGGTCACGACAGGCCATTAGGATTTGAGGGTCCAGAATTCCTTTTCTCATTTGATCTGAGGTTCAGAAAGGGCATGAGATGGACCTTCCAGCAAATCTGAGTCAGGAGAAAAGGCCTCCCCTCCCCCCTTTCCATCAAAGCTCAGGGATCTGTCACAGACCATCCCGATAATTCAAGTCAGGAGTCAAGAATCTTTTCCCTTTTGAGTTATGCCACGAGAGGGTGAGGAACATACTGAGGTCACACAGCTAACTAGGGAAGAAGTGAAGGTTCCCGGCTGGCACCAGGGAGGGCACCGAGCTGCCTGGGGCATCAGTACCAGCCTGAATCAAGCCGGCGTCTGGATCTAGCCTAGCTACACACTGGCATCCCTGTGGCTGTGGGGGGGCTGAGACGTGGTCTTGGGGTCAGCCCGGCCCAGGAGCCGATGCTAGCACGGGCCTAGGGAGGAGACACGTACTTTTGCACCTGTTGACCTCCTGGCCGCGGATGCCGAAGTAGCCCAGGGGACAGTCATGCACACACTTGCCGTACTGGCGGATGCCTTCCCGGCGGATGAACAGAAACAGCTTCTGCTGGCACGTGGAGCAGCCGTTCTCTTCCGAGCAGATGACACAGCCTGTGCAGTTTCCCCCCAGACCAGTCCCTGCTGCTCATCAGAACAAGGTGGAAGGTGGGGGAAGGGGAGAGAGAAACAAGTCATATGTGTGAGCATCTCAATTGTGCCATCAAGTCACTGAGAACTACATTTCCCAGCTACCCTTGCGACTAGACACGGCCACGTGACTAAAATCCGACCAATGGGGGCCTAAAGTAAAGGGCACAGGTGCTCCTTGACATCCTCTATCCTTCCTGTAGGTTGGACTGTGAGCATCATGGTTGGAGCACATCTGGGTTCATGAAGTAGAAACCAAGTGTTGAGAAGGTTGGAGAAATAAGATGAGGAAGAGCCTGAGTTCCTGAGGAAGGTTGAACTCTGGGCTGCCCAAGTAAACAGCTATCTGGAAGAAGGCTAGAGAGACAGTACAGTGGGGAGGGCATTTGCCTGGTATACAGCCAACCTTCTTAGTTCCAACCCTGGCACCCCTTATGGTCCCCCAAGCACAGCCAGGTGTGATCCCTGAGCACAGAGCCAGGAGTAAGCCCTGAACACTGTCAGGCATAGCTGAAAAATTGAACTGTTGCATGAGAGAAACATCTTTTGTTTTTTCCTGTTTCCTTTAAATTGCTGTTATTTGGATTTCTCATTTACAAACCTAATCTGTACTAAAATGGGGTGTGGGGGTTGTCTGCCTGTAGGGAGAAGCTAGTCGGCTTGCCTGGCAAGCACTGGACCCAGGTTTAATCCCTGACATTCTATATGGTCCCCAGAGCACTGCTAGGAGTAATTACTGAGTTCCTAGCCAGGAATAAATAACTTCTGAGTATGTCCGGGTGACCCAGAAAAACTAAAAACAAATACACAAATCAACCAAACAAAAAACTCCCAGTTACTATAAAGGAAAAAGAAAAGGCGCCACCAATAACAAAAACAAAATGAAAGGGGAAAAAAATGAACAGAGCTCAGTTCCCACCATAGGCTATTTAAAAAAAAATTTTTTTTTGACAATTATGAGGACTGGCCAGGCTGAAAGGAAATTTTCACTTCATCTTGTGAATCTTTTTCCCTCCCTGCCCCCCCCCCCCCCGGCCCAAACCACAGCAGTTTGTCTTCTGTCTCCTGGTATAAAAACCCAAAATAGTGGGTGTCGACTGTCCGAGGTCAGCATCTAGAGAGCTGGTGATGACTCAGATCGCTCTACCACCTTGGAGAATGGAATTCTCAGGGTCTGAGATGAGGCCTGAGGATTTGCACTGCTAACTGGTTCCTGGGTCACACTGATGTTTCCGGTCTCAAGGGTCATGGGCACAGAGACGGTCTTATGTATTTGCACAGAAGCAGGGTCAAAGGTGTTTACTGAAGCGTTGCTTAATAATAGCTCATTGCAAAGCCCTGTCTTAATAACAGAAGAAGAAAGCACTGTGTGGGCCAGAGAGACTGAACCAGGGGTAGGGTGCTTGCCTTGTACATGGCCAACCCTGGTTCAAATCCCCAGAACCCCATAAGGTCCTCTGAGCACCAGTCAGGGGTCACTCCTGAACACAGATCCAGGAGTGAGCCCTGAGAACCATCTAGACTGGCCCTTGAGCATGGAGCTAGGAGTAAGGACTGAGCAGATGTGGCTTAATGTCCCCCACCCCCACACAATGCATATGCCATACATATTTTACTACTGCAAATGATAGAAATGGAATGTTTTTATGAATTGATCTCAAAGACAGTGCTGAGACAAAAATGCAGGTTGTATGATGAATCCTACAGAAAGAAGCTATATATATATTATATATAGCTTCTTTCAAATATAAAGATACATATCACTTAATCACTTAACTTCCCGTTAATCGTCGATTTGCTCGAGCGGGCGCCAGTAACGTCTCCATTTGTCCCTGTCGCGTGCTAGTGTAGCCCAATGGCATCTCTTCGCTCCGGGAACATGGAGGGCCTCAAACCGATCGTTCATGACCTTGACAAAGAAGTCTGACCATCTGGTATATATATATATTTGAAATATATATATATATTTGAAAACCTTGCAAAGCAGTTTCCTAACACCACTGGCTTTTGTATGATGACATATAAAGGACCCATAAACTCTGAATTTAGGATCACTGCATCCCTCAGGATCCCGTGGGGAAAGGGACTAGAGAACAAACAAGGACTTAGCTTTTCAGCGAGTAGGGCGTTTGTCTTGCAAGCGGCCGACCTGGTTGACCTGAGTTCGATTCCTCCGCCCCTCTTGCTGGAGCCCGGCAAGTTAACAAGAGTATCTCGCTCATAGGTAAAGCCTGGCAAGGTACCCAGGAAGTATTTGATATGCCAAACACAGTAACGACAAGTAACATTCTCACAATGGTACTGTGCCCGCTTGAGCAAATCGATGAACAACGGGAGGACAGTGACAGTGACAGTGACAATGTAGGAGTACTGTATTTGTTCAGCTATTGAACAAATAAGCTGATTGAATTGGGCATGAAAGGACTTAGCATTTGTTACTACTATTTGAGCTCTTAAAATATGAAGCAAATATGGAAATAGCAAGAATATGTAAAAATGGTTGTCAAATAGAAAATGTTTATTAAGGCACCATTTTACAGTTTTTTAAAACTTTTATTGAATCACTGTGAGCTATACCATTATAAAGCTGTTCGTGATTGGATTTCAGTCATACAGTATTCCAATACCCATCCCTCCACCAGTGTACATTTTCCAGCACCAGTGTCCCCAGGTTCCCTCCCATCACTCCCCACCTCCCTCCTCAATTCTTCTATTTAATATTTTGTTGTTGCTTTGGGTTACATCCAGCAGTGCTCAGGAATCACTCCTGGTGGGCCTCAGGACCATAGCTAATGCTGGGGACCTAACAGAGATTGGTTGCGTTCTTTCTTTTTTCTCTTTCTTTCTTTTTTCTTTCTTCCTTCCTTCCTTCCTTCCTTCCTTCCTTCCTTCCTTCCTTTCTTTCTTTCTTTCTTTCTTTCTTTCTTCTTTCTTTCTCTTTCTTTCTTCTTTCTTTCTCTTTCTTTCTTTCTTTCTTTCTTTCTTTCTTTCTTTGTCTTCCTTCCTTCCTTCCTTCCTTCCTTTCTTCCTTACTTCCTTCCTCCTTTCTTTCCTTTTCTTTCTCTTTCATTTTTCTTTCTTTTGTTCTTTTCTTTGTTCCTTTTTTTTTTGTTTTTTGGGGTCACGATGAGCAGTGCTCAGGGAATACTCCTGGCTTTGCACTCAGGGATCACTCCTGGTGGGACTCAGGGGTGTATATGAGGTGTCAGGGATTGAACCCTGGTCAGCTACATGCAAGGCAAGTACTTTACCCACTGTACTATCTCTGCGGGTATCCCCCTTTCACTTTTGCCTATAGGTTTGTAGATCTTAAAACAAGAAGATACTTAAAGGCAACAGTCTTGCCTTTATTGTGTCCTGCGGGTGGGATGGATAGAGAAAGGACCACATTTTTGTTCTTCCCTGTTCTCCTTGCACCTCTCAACCTTCTGGGAAGATGATGGGGATTCTGAGAGCACCAAAGGCCTGTACACCCGAGTATGGTGCCTCTCCTCGGTCACCACATCCATCCTTCCACCCTTACCTCCAGTCTGAAGCATAACTAGTGGCCTTCCACCTTTCTACACCAGTGGACTGGCCGCGAATGTGGACTTGTGATTGAAGAACACGGACTCCAAGCACTATTTATAGAGTGGTGTTGATATTTTTTTTACTTGTTAAAGATAGTAGAACCTTCCTTTGGGGGGATTCAGGGGGTGGGGAGAAAGGGAGGGAGAGAGAGAGAGAGAGAGAGAGAGAGAGAGAGAGAGAGAGAGAGAGAGAGAGAGAATATGTATGGGGGAATGGGGGAAGAGGTTTGGGGATGGGAGAGTGCCGGAGAGGGAGAGAAAGGGCGAGAGAGGCAAAGAAAGAGCATCACACAGCACTGAGCCAGAAAGAGCATCACACAGCACTGAGCCGGGTCTATGCCATTGGGGCCTCTGCTGAGCCCTTGATGTTGGCAGTGCCTGGGGCGCCCTCTAGCGGCTCCATAGTGTAACGGCGCCTCCCGCTGGCGGGCTGCGGATGGTGTCCCTCTGGCTCTTCATGGCATCTCTGTAAATCCTTAGAGAGAGCAAAACTATTTCCGCCCTCCCCACCCCCACCGCTCAGGGCACGGGTGTAGAGACTTGGATTCTAATTTTAGGAATAATAAGTGGTGACAACTAGTGTCTGTACAGTTCTGCTTCAGAAAAATCCCAACTTGATGGTTCTACAAGTTTCCTGGGAGTAAGAACCCCAGGAAGGCTTGTGAAGTGGCTGGGCTGGGTGCAGGGACATGCGAAGCAACAAGTTCAAACCCAGAGTGCTGGGCAGGGCCTTCCCTGCTTACACTGTCTTCTCTCTGATGACCAGTGGCAGGACCCTGATCCCCGGCCAGTGGGGAGCTGACTGAGCCCGGCGGGCCAGTCACACCGTCTCTCTGCGAGGCATTTACTCAGGGCCCACAGCTGTGGTCGGGGCTGACCTCTGGCCCCTGGGCCAAGACTGTTCCAGGAAACACGGTGAGGGGCGTCGGTGGGCTGTAACTTCCGTGACGCCTCTCAGCTAACAGGGCGCTTCCTCCCCACCCTCTGACTTTCAAGGTTCATGTGGCCCCGTGTCCACCCCGAGGCACAGACCTGGGCTTGGCCATCTGGACACTGCACTCCAGGGGCTGTCCTAACTCTGCTAGGGGTTTCAACAAGACCTAGTCCTAGATGTTTTAAAAATCAATTCATGTGTGAATGTGTATGAGTGACTGTGTGTCTGTGTGCGAAAATGTGCGTGTGTCTCTGTGTATCTGCATGTGAGTGTAAAAGCATGTGTGTGTGTCTGTGTATCCGTGTGTGAGTAGAAAAGAGTGTCTGTGTGTGTCTGTGACTCTGAATGTGAGTGACTGTGTGTGAATGTGAGTGTTTGTGATTGTGTATCTGTGTGATAGTGTGTGTCTGTGTATGTGAGTACTGTGTGTAAATGTGAGTGTGTGGCTGGGTATCTGTATTTGAGTGTGAAAGTGTGTGTCTGTGGATCTG